GATTGATGAGAGTATTTGGCTTCGTGTTTTCTTTCTGAGAGGTTCTTATGTAATAAATTCAACTTGTTTATTGGATAAGTAAGATTTTTTGGGTTTTTTCTCTCAGTGGATGTTGGAAAGTTGCATTTCTCAAAAGAGTTTGTCTGTGTCATCTGAGCTGGCTGTGTCAATTCTTTGGTGTAAGAGCAATAATTTTATCTTTTCCATGTCTGTAGGATCTTTAGTAATATCCCTTTCTAATATTGACAGTAGTTTTTTGTTGGCTAGTAGGAAGCTATCTATTTAAATCTAGTTAAACTCTGTGTATGGTGTGTATGTGTGTGTTTGTGTGTGTGTATGTTCATGTTGGTATTGGGTCTTCAACTCACTCTTGGGCTTAGCTTTTTCCAGTCAAAGCTGGAATTCTACTACTTGAGCCACAGGGCTACCTATGGCATTTTGCTGATTAACTGGAGATAAGAATTTCTTTATTTGTCTTACCAGGTTGGCTTCAAATCCTGATCTTCAGATCCCAACCTACTGAGTAGCTAGGTGTGAACCACCAGCATTTGGCATTTAATTTAAACAATATTTTAAAAGAACTTTTGGCTTTGTTGGTTTTCTCTACAGTGTATTTCTATTTTACTGCTTTATAATATTTATTATTTACTTCCTATTTTCCTTATACTTTTCTGTTCTTTTGTTCTTAATGTAGAAGAATAAATCACTGATTTTTCAGACTTTCCATTTTTGTACCACATACATTTTAAGATTCTAAATTTCCCTGTGTTCTACATTAGCTTCATACATGGAGTTTTTATTCTATATCTTTTAACAATCACATTCAATTAAAATTATTTTATAATATTTATATGGATTACTTAGAAATATGTTTTTAAATTTCCAAGTATTGGAAATTATGTTTCTTATTTTTATTTTATTGTTTAGTTAGCATATATGAACAGTATCATGAAAGTTTCATCATGATGAAATTGTCTTTTTGTTATTTCTGGGCTAATTCTGTTTTGGTCAAATAACTTTTTCTTAATTCAGTGTCTTGAAATTTGCAGTCTTTTTACCCACTATATGAATAAAATTATCACTTTATAGACACTCAAAAAGTAAATTGTAGGCGGGGAATGTGGCTTAGTGATAGAGTGCCTAGCATGCATGAAGCTCTGGGTTCGATTCCTCAGTATCACATAAACAGAAAAGGGCAGAAAAGGGACCGTGGCTTAAGTGGTAGAGTACTTGCCGTGAGCAAAAGAAGCTCAGGGACAGTGTCCAGGCCCTGAGTTCAAGCCCCAAAACTGGCCAATAAAAAAAAAAGTAAATTGTGCTCTTGTGGGTACAGATTTTGACATATAATAACCAGGTCAGATTTGTATTGTGCCATTTATATTTCTATATCCATCCTGGTCTTTTAATCTTCTTGTTCCATAAATTAAGAAAATATACTATAAGCTTTCACTATGTTTGTGGATTTATCTTTTCATAGACATGTTTGTATATTTATTTATTCCCTCAGCTCTTCAGCTCAAGGTGAGCTACCTCTTGAGCTACAGTGCCACTTCTGGTTTTCTGGTGGTTTATTGGAGGTAAGTCTCATGGACTTTCCTGCCTGGGCTGACTTTGAACGATCCTCAGGTCTCAGCCTCCTGGGTAGCTAGGATGACAGGCGTGGATTACAGCTAGGATGACAGGGTTTTATATCCCATGAACACAGATGGCTCTGGAACCTGTGCATGCACGTTACATGGTCTTCTTCCAGCAGATGGCTCTGGAGCCTGTGCATGCACATTACATGGCCTTCTTCCAGCAGATGGCTCTGGAGCCTGTGCATGCACATTACATGGCCTTCATCCAGCAGATGGCTCTGGAGCCTGTGCACGCACATTACATGGCCTTCTTCCAGCAGATGGCTCTGGAGCCTGTGCATGCACATTACATGGCCTTCATCCAGCAGATGGCTCTGGAGCCTGTGCATGCACATTACATGGCCTTCTTCCAGCAGATGGCTCTGGAGCCTGTGCATGCACATTACATGGCCTTCTTCCAGCAGATGGCTCTGGAGCCTGTGCATGCACATTACATGGTCTTCTTCCAGCAGATGGCTCTGGAGCCTGTGCATGAACGTTACATGGCCTTCTTCCAGCAGATGGCTCTGGAGCCTGTGCATGCACATTACATGGCCTTCATCCAGCAGATAGCTCTGGAGCCTGTGCATGCACATTACATGGCCTTCTTCCAGCAGATGGCTCTGGAGCCTGTGCATGAACGTTACATGGCCTTCTTCCAGCAGATGGCTCTGGAGCCTGTGCATGCACATTACATGGTCTTCTTCCAGCAGATGGCTCTGGAGCCTGTGCATGAACGTTACATGGCCTTCTTCCAGCAGATGGCTCTGGAGCCTGTGCATGAACGTTACATGGCCTTCTTCCAGCAGATGGCTCTGGAGCCTGTGCATGCACGTTACATGGCCTTCATCCAGCAGATAGCTCTGGAACCTGTGCATGCACGTTACATGGTCTTCTTCCAGCAGATGGCTCTGGAGCCTGTGCATGCACGTTACATGGCCTTCATCCAGCAGATGGCTCTGGAGCCTGTGCATGCATGTTACATGGCCTTCTTCCAGCAGATGGCTCTGGAGCCTGTGCATGCACATTACATGGCCTTCTTCCTCCAACCTCCTGGTCATCCCATCTGGGTTCTGGTTTCTTTCTTCTTGCCAAGGTGCCCACTTTAATCCAACTCATCTTTGTTCAGGCACATGGAGCCAGGGGCTCCCAGTCAGCTTCTGGCTGCCTTTGACAGGGAGGTGGAGAGAGGACGGGGAAGCCTTTCTCCATGACTCACGTTAGCATCTCTTTCTGCATGTTGTTCCTGAGCAGGGCAGTCACAGCTGCCCTGGGCATGCAGCAGGACATCCTTCTGACTGTATCATTGGCCATCCAGCCTTGCTTCAGCTCCCTGAGGAGATCAGATACTGGAAGGCTCCTGGCAGTGATGAGTGATCTAGCTGCCAAGCTACATCTTGAACCGTTTGGGAAGAAAGACTAAACCTTAAAAACTGTGCAGTTGCTTTTTACCAGGCATGACCCATAGTGTCTCATTCATCCTCACAATTCTGGGAAGACAACACAAAGCCCAGAGAAGCCATGCACATGTGTGGTCATTCGGCTAGGAAGTACTGAGGGCTGGGTCTAAGTCATGCTCTTTGCTCTAGAGCGAGCTGTGACTTCAGACCACACCTCTGCTGCTGGTGCCCTGTGACTCGGCTGTCCTACCTTTTCCTGGAAATGCAGCCCAGGCTGGACATCATGACTGTTATTGTCTTGTCAGCTCTTATTGTTGTGCTCTTCCTGATGGCTGCTGTTGGAGGACTGTGTCCCTAGTGGGGGCTTTGCCTTCATGAGGCCTAATCAATATGTCACTGTTTGTCTCTTCCCCCCCCCCTCCCCCCCCGCACCCCATCCTGGGGTTTGAACTCTGGGCTTGGACACTCTCTCTGAGCTCCTTTTGCTCAAGGCTAGCACTCTGCCACTTGAGCCACAGTGCCACTTCTGGCTTTTTCTGTGAGTAATTGGCAATAAAGAGTCTCACAGACTTTCCTACTTGGGCTAGCTTTGAACTGCGATCTTCAGATCTCAGCCTCCTGAGTAGCTAGGATTATAGGTGTGAGCCACCAGCACCTGGCAATCTCTCTACCATTTTCTTACCCAGAAAGATGTTAATCACGTTTCACCAGTGCGATGGATGCTACCCTATCTGTGACCTTCTGTGTACCAGCTCTGTGTTTTATTTTCACACATTCCCTCCTGGTGAGCGGCAGGGATGAAGGTGGAAGTTTGGCTCACAGTTTGACTCTGACACTCAATTTCCAAGTCTAGCCAGCAGCTTTGGACTCTAGGTCATTCTAGCCTAAGAGAGGACGTGAGAGACAGCAGCTGGCTCTTGGGATGGCACCAGTCCTCTCCTTCCTTAGGGAGAGATGTCTTTCATACTCTGCTGTCTCTCAGTCTGTGACCTGAGGCCTGCCATGCAGGCCCCACTGAGCCAGAATTGCTAGGCCACTGCTTACAAATAGTTATTAAGCCTTAGGCGTATGAAAACAGTTCTGTGATGGTTAATGTGATGTGTCAGCTTGACTGGAAAAAGGGATATCCAGAAAGCAAGCAGTATTTTATTCCTGAGTGTATCTGTGAGAGTATTTTTGGAAGATGTTTGGGGATCAGTAGACTGAGCATAAAGATCTGGCCTCACCAGTGTGGGTGGTCACCATCCAATCAGTTGAGAGCAGACAGAACAGAAGATGGAGGTGAATTCTCTCTCTCTCTCTGGTACAGAGGTTTGAACTTGGGGCTTCACACTCAATAGGCAAGCAGTCTACCACTGAGCCACACCTTTAGCTCCTGAATTCTTTCTGAGATGGGGCACCAGCTCCATAAGCCTTGGAGTTCAGAGTTCCTGGTCCTTGGGTCTTTGGACTCCTGGACTTGTAACCCCTTTCTCTGGTCCCACATGGACTAAGTACAACACATCTTTCCTGGTTCTCTAGCTTGCAGATGGCATATTGTGGAACTTCACAGCCTCCCCAATTGTGTGAACCAGTTCTGACAATAAATCCCTTCGATATAGCTCTCTACCCTGACAGTTTTATTTCTCTGGAGGATACTGATTAACAGATCTTCCCACTTTGCACCAGTGGGGGAAGTGCTCAGTCTCTATCCTATTTTGAACACCTCAGTTTGCAAATTTTTCAAACTTTGCATCATGAACTAGCATGCCTACACAAAGACACACATAAGTGGTATGAAGTCTTAGGAAATGATACTGCGATTCACTTGGTTACCTGTGCCTTAATTTATTTCATTCCATTAGAAAAGTACTTGTCCCTACCCACTAAGTGAGCTTCAGCACCCACTTGAACCATACCTTTTTCTTTTTGCTTTTGCTATTTTTTCAGAACAAGATCTCACTGTAACATATTTGTCCTTTTTTTTTTTTTTTTGTCTTTTTAGTGGAAAAGACAAAGAAAGCAATCTGGAATGGTCTCTAGCACTTTCCACAAGAACTCTACTTAAGTTACACCAAGTATTTACATGTCTGCTGTGGGCTGAATGATGTCCTATTCATGGATGGAAATCCCAACTTCCAGCTGATTAAAATGTGAGTGAACATGGAAACTGGGCCTTTCAAAAACGCAATCAAGTTCAAACAAGACAGTTAGTGTGGATCCTAGTCCAATATAACTGGTGTCCTTATAGGAGGAAGAGCTCAGAAGACCCCACAGGTACACAGACCAAGAGGAGACCATGTGAGAAGACAGTAAGAAGGTCGCCTGCTTGTGCCAAGGAGACAGTCCTCGAAAGGAACCAAACTGTTGACACTTTCATCTTGAACTTCTAACAATGTGAGAAAGTTTCCAATATTTAAGGTACCCAGCCTCTCGTTTTGTTACAGCAGTCTCTGCTAATGAATAGAGTACCTTTAGTCTGCATGTACTGTTCACTCTGTTTGGAACCCTCTCCACCTACTAACATTCAGGGACTCCCTAACTCAGCACACCTGGGACTGTGGGCACTGATCACGAGTGATCACACCAGCCCTTGCTTACCGTGTGTGTTTCATTCATACCCACATTGCAACCACTCCGAACAACCCATGTGTTTGTAAAGATAAGGTAGTGTCCCTACCTCTTCATCTTTGCTGTTAAGGCTCCCTGGGCTAGAGGCCCCATCTTACATTTCCAAGTTGATTATCATCTCTTCTGTTTTCAACATTCATCCCAAACATCCTTCTGCTTTAAAGCATTTCCTGAACTTATGCTGCTGTGACCCACCATTTCTACTGTGAACAGAGAGTTGTCATAGCAGTCTTGAGTTATGAGTTTGGCTGCTAGTTAGGAGCTTGGCTTTTGGGATGGCTCCTTGGGGTTGCTGTGAAAAGTGGCTTTCTGTGTCTAGGCCATGTAGTACAAGCCATGCAATACATGTTGAATACCTGCTTTCCTTCTGGTAGTCTGGAGTCATGATACATATTATGTAGAGTACCTATATTATTAGTCAGCCCCAATGGAAATTCTGGGTACTGAGTTTCTAACAAGCTCTTCAGATACACAATGTTTCACACTTGTCACAACTCCCTGCTGGAGGAATGGAATGTGTCCTTTGTAGTTCTATTGAGAGAACTCTTGGAAGATTCCACCTGGTAGTTTCCAGACTGCCCCTTGTGCTTTTTCCCTTGCTAGTTTTGCTTTGTATCTTTTCACTGTGATAAATCACAGCCAAGAAGATAACTTTGTGCTGAGGTGCTCGAGTTCTCCAAGCAAATCATGGAGTCTAGTGTGTCTTGGGGGACCTCTAACGCACCCTGCCACAGGCCTGCATATATAGATTTTTCTTGCTCAGAAAATTAGAACCATCCTTACTGAAATTCAGTCAGATCACTTCCAAGAAAGATCTGGAATGCCTTTTGAGAAGTGAGAATGCCTTTTGTGCAGGCCTATGCCAGAGTGATTGATTTCTTTACAGGAGCACTTACCAAAATAGCTACTGAATTTAAAAAGTCAGGTTGACTGTCAGACATTTGTGGTCATGTGCTTGAGAAACACCAGACTTAAACTTGTGAGTTCTATTATCCCAAGTCTCTTCAGAACAGCTGAATTTTCTGTTATTAACTTTGTTAAGAGGCAGCGGTTCAAATCCAAAATGTATTTGACCATCTCTCATTTTCCCCTCAGGAACACAACTGCACAATCCCATGGATGGTGGGAGGTGGGTAGTATGGCAGGCATCTTAAAATAAGCATCAAGAAACAGATACTTGCAAAAAGTGGGGTGGGGGCCAAGAGGAGAAGGGTAGATGGGTGAAGAGAAGGGGGGATAAATGCAGTCACGAATCCAATGTACACACCACAAGATTAAGAAGGGGCGGGTTGACTGATAATGTTGAAAGGGGTGACACTAATGAAGACACATTGTATTCATAAACTGTTTTGCGAAATGGCAACTCCTTGTATAACTACTGAAAAAGAAAAATAAAACTGAACACACTCGAGTTCGAGAGAGGTAGGAAGTTAGCACTGGTGCTAAGTGGGTTTCTTGATTGGGGAGAAACCCAGGCAAGTATTCTGGCCACCTGACCCACAACCGTGACTTTTTTTCTCTCCTTCTGTGAGAGATCTTGATTAACTTTCTTCACCCTTCTCTCCCACAGGAGGGTATCGTGACCCACTTCCACACAGTGCCAACTGGCACCCTTCTTCCAAGTCCCTTTTCTACACATTCCTTTGCAATTCCTCCTCGTCTGACCCAGTCACCGCCTGTCCGGTTCACAAATAATAACGCGCATCATATGTCTGTTACTTTCTTTCTGGTGCTGTTACAGAAGCTTGAACTCGGGGCCTGAGCGCTGTCTCTGAGCTTTTCTGCGCAAGGCTAGTGCTCTACCACTTGAGCCACAGTTCTACCTCCTGCCTTCCGGTAGTTACTGCAGATGAGAGTCTCACCGACTGTCCTGTCTGGGCTGGCTTCGAACACCCATCCTCAGATCTCAGCCTTCCGAGCAGCTAGGATTACAGGCGTGAGCCACGGGCGCCCGGCTCGGTTTCCTTTGAGATGGGCCACTCGGCCTCCGCTTCACGAAGAGCAACGGGGCCTTGAGCCCTTGGACTGGGGCAGCACCCGCATCTCCCACAGGGAGGGGGAAGGGGGGTCCGGCGCCCTGGGCTCCAAAGCGGCGGCGGGGGACGGCCCCCAACCTCCTCTGACACCCCCAGACCCGAACCCCAGAGGTGAGGAAGAACCCAGAGCCACGCTGCCGCCAACCTAACACGCCACCGCGGCGGGACGGAAGCGGAGGTGTGAAGAAGAAACCGGAAGTCCGGTCCTGGAGCCTGCCGTTCCTCTCTAGGAGCCCGGAGGTTTCCCATCTCTATGGTGTGGGGTTTCCCGCTGCCCCGCGGTGGGCCGAGGCGCCCGGGCCTCGGGCGCTGACCCGCCAGCCCGGGAGCGGAAACGAACGGATCTCATTATTGCTAAAGAAGAAGAAAGGCACGGGGGCTCAAGGGGGCACCCCAAAGCGAGAGACGCATAGCTGGGTGTTTCGTTTTTTTTGGCTTCCTCTACACACATCATTTACAGAAAAATGGAGAAGGCTAGCCTCCCAGCTGCCTAGCCTCCCAGCAATGATGCAGCTGACAGGACCTCAAGTCGTGATCGAAGAAGGCCTCACCTTGAAGGGCCTTTGGAACGTGGACTCCGGGCGGGGGCTGGGAGCGCCGCTGTGGCATCTTCTCACAGAACCAGCCTCTCTGTCCCCTAATGCTGCAGGCACACCTGTCCTGCCCCCCCCCCCTCCATTCAGTGGTCAGGTAGAACAACTTTGGTTTACTCATTTATCTGCACTTTCTACTCTAAAACGAGCAAGAAAGCTATACCAATCTAAACAAGCGCAGAATCTAGCCAAATTAAAACTGTTCAGGGGTAAACAACATACAGCCCCCAGCACAAATAGGAGTGGGGTACAATTCGTTCACCCTCGACAACAGAATGTAAACGTATTCAAGCCCGTTCAAGAACTCTGGGGCATATAAAGCCATTTAATGGGTGCTCCTCTGGCCCCTGGGATCTCACCTGTGGGAATTTTATTCTGGGCAAACAATGCAAGTGAAAAATAAAGCTGCATTTCTGAAATGATTACAGTGGACATTTGTCAAAGTTGCTTGCCCAGTATCTAGTATCCCTTTTCATGATTTCAACACTAGGATTTTTCTAATCTTACTATGGAAGGAATGCTCAGAAGGGTACATGCCCCAGCATGGTAGAGGGATAAATCATGAAGTCGAGATCCAGGCTACCAGGGACCTAACCTTGTCTTTGCTGCTTAACAGGTACCTGAACGTTAGCTTGAAATATAACCTCTCTGAGCGGTGATAGTTTGTTGGTAGACACCTTCCATGTAGGGTTGTAGTAGTGGATGAGTGATTGAGGCAAGTATAAAGCTGATGCACCATTGTTATTTCCTACCTCCATGCCTCTCACATTGCTATGTCTAGAAAGCTCTTACATGCTGCCTTTCTTTTCTTTGTGTTGATTACACACTCCAATATCATCGCCTGCATTATTTCAGATATTGAATATTTTTCTTTCCTATTGGAAAAACCTTCAGAACAAGATCATATCTTATTTTCTGTGCTTTTAGGTGCTGAACTAATGCCTAATCAATGTTTGTTGAGCAAAAATGAATACTCTCTAGTACAGCTGAGAAAAAACAATTAATAAAAGTGCAACAAATTTGACAATAAAACATAGAGATGCCTGTATGATTCATACCTGTAATCCTAGCACTTGAGAGGCAGAGGCAGGAAGGATGGGGAGGTTTAGGCATTCTGGACTACACAGTGGGGCTCTGTCTCAAAAAACAGAACAAAACCAAACCAAAAAAAATAAAACTCCCAGGGAAATAAATTCTCACCATGTTTATCTCGATATTGGATTGATGATCTACGACTGGGGGATTTCTTTAGAAGTTAGTGTATGTGACATACCAAAGATAAGAGAGGAAGGAGATGAGGCTACAAGAGATGAGACACTCAGAACCATCAGGATTCTGGGCTCTGGAGGCCTATTGGTAATAAAGAACAGGTAAATGAACCCTGAACAGGACTGGACCCTTCGCTTACAGTGTAAATTTCAAAGCTTGAGTGAGGATCAGGATGTGGTCCTGGAGGCACGGTGGAGGTGATGAAGAGGCAAAGATACACGGAAGGGAGGAAGCTGAGAGTGTGAGACCTGAGTGCTTGCTTGCTTGCTCATCCACTGGGACCCTGCAATCACCCAGGATGAGAACGGGCTGAAGCTGTAGGGGCATCGCCCAAGTTCTGGAGTACATCTGGAGGAAGATAAATATGAGCAGCAGGAGGACTGAGGGAGGTAGAGAGGTGGATACGAGAGCACTGAAGGAGGAAGGATTGGTACATGAGTGGAAACGTAAGGAACACAGAAGTGGCTGTGGAAGGCCTAGGGAACTGAAATAGGGATGATGGCGAGGAAGCAGAGAAACCTTCCTTGTGATGGATGTGATGTCCCGAGGGAGGAAGCCCATGGTACTTTGAAGAAGGTCTAGTAGGATATTTCATGAGGACCAGGAGGACTATGGTCTTGAAGAATACTCTTGAAGACTCAGCAGAAGGAGTCCGGCAGCAGTGGGAGGAGTGGGTAGAGCAGGGTTGAGATGAGAGACCGTGGGAAGTCCTATAAACCACAGCCAGCTTACATCTGCTCACCAGCTCTGATTGTGTGCATTCCCCCCGCCCCCCTCCAGTCCAGTGACTCTGTGGTTGATGGTGTCTCATTTCCACTACAGTACTGGGCCATGCAAGACATCAGATCTCCTTGCCCTGAACAAAATGAAACACACACACACACAACCTAAAAACAACTACTGAGACGCCACCGACTCTCCTAATCCTAGATGCAACCCATTGGTTAGGAGAGGATGCAGGCAATGTATTGTCTGCAACCCAAAGTCATGAGTTGAAAATGCCATGTATGAGAAGGGAGACACCTCCTCGGATGATGCAGCTTAATCTGCTTTTAAAAAACACACACTAAGGGTTGGGAAGGTGGCTCAGTGGGAGAGTGCTTGCCTAGCATGCATGAAGCCCTGGGTTCCATTCCTCAGTATCACACAAACAGAAAAGGCCAGAAGTGGCGCTGTGGCTCAAGTGGTAAAGTGCCAGCCTTGAGCAAAAGAAGCTCAGGCCCTGAGTTCAAGCTTCATGACTGACAAAAGCAAGCTAGCAAGCAGACAAACAAAAAGTCAAGGAAGCTACAAGTCCCAGGAAGGGACTTGGTGGGAGGGGGAGGGGTCAAGGGTCACAGAGAATCTTTAGCTGCTGAGCAGCCTGCTTATCCATGCTTTGCAGCATGCTTGTGTCTGGTCAAAGAGGGGGATTTCAATAAGATGAATACAAAGGGAATACATTAAGTAGTAAATTTTCCTATTCCTGAAGTGGATTCCCCTTTTCCACATCCCTCTGATCCTATGGCAGTAATGGTTGGGGTATGCTAATGGGAGTGCTGAACTCTTTTAAAGGCCTACCACATGGAATCCTGTTTGGGGGTAGTCTGAGTCCAGAGGGCCTTACTTGGTGGAGAGCACGAAATCCTACTCTTTGGAGCTGACTGTGGTGGTTTTGTTTGTTTGTTTTTTAATTCTACTTAAAATATTGGAGTTACAGGGTTTTAAAATTGGAGGGTTGGGGCTGGGAAGGTGGCTCAGTGGTAGAGTGCTTGCCTTGCATGCGTGAAGCCCTGGGTTCGATTCCCCAGTACCACATACACAGAAAAAGCCGGAAGTGGTGTTGTGGCTCAAGTGGTAGAGTGGTAGCCTTGAGCAAAAGAAGCTCAGGGACAATGCCCAGGCCCTGAGTTCAAACCCCAGGCCTGGCAGAATAAAATGTCAGAAAAAAATTGGAGGGGGTTTTTGTGTCCATCAAGTCTGCCTCCTTCTTGGTACTAGTGAGAAAATGGAGAATCTGAGAGATTAAGTAACTTGATCAAAATCATCTATCCAATGAATTCATAGTGACAGAAAGCAGATCAATAGTTATGTGTGGAGAACACACAGGCCCCAAGGAAACTTGAAGGTAATAATTATATCCTGAATCTTGATCGTGTAAATTGTTTTATACCTGCATATTAAAACGTATCAAGTAGCTAGGCACCAATGGCTCATGCCTGTACTCCTAGCTGCTCAGGAAGCCAAGATCTGAGATCTGAGATCTGGATTGCAGTTCAAAACCAACCTAGGCCGGAAAGTCTGTGAGCTCTTGTCTCCAATTAACCACCAAAAAGCCAGAAGGAGGTATGGTTCCTTTGAGCAAAAAAGCTCAAACACAGTGTCCAGGACCTGTGTTCAAGCCCCAGGACTGGGACAAAATTGAATGAAACAACTTATCAAGTTATACACTTGACATAGGAATAGTCTCTTGTACACGAATGATGCCTTCATAAAGCTGCTTTAAAATGCCATCCATCTGAGAAGGTGGCTCAGTGGTAGAGTGCTTGCCTTGTTCGATTCCTCAGCACCACATAAGCAGAAAAAGCCAAAAGTGGAGCTGTGGCTGAAGTGGTAGAGTGCTAGCCTTGAGCTGAAGAGTTCAGGCCCCACAACTGACAAAAAAAAAAAAGCCTTGCATCTCCTCAGAGACCAAACGGAACAGGACACGCAACTCCTCTCTAGAAGTCTTCACACTCCTGCCATCACTTCAGCACTGTCTTCCAACCAAAGTCTATTTCAGGCTGTAAAAATGTTCTTTTCCATAATGTCATGTGAAAAAATTCCATACTTCCAAACGGTCTATAATGAAAAATAATAATACTCTTTAAAAAGTAGCAGGTATCACTCAAGAGTTCTAATGTGAACTGCGTTATGAGGAGGAAGGGGTAGACTTCTCTTTTCCTATTCGTGTTCATTCCTGTGGCAAGGCTGTGAGAAGTATCTTTTCTGAATGCTTTCAGTGAATTTGATCTTAGAAAAACAGGCCTTTTTTTCAGTACTAGGATTTGAATTCAGAGCCTCATACTTGCCAGGAATTTCTCTTCTGCTTAAGCCATGCTTCCAACCTATTTTGCTGTGGTTAATTTTTTTTAATCTTTGCAATTTGAAAACAATATTTATTTAATCTGATCTCATGCCAATAAAATACATGATCTGTCCTTTAGTACATCTTCTGTCTCTACTTAGGTACACCTTGTGCTCTGGTTAATTTTGAGGTAGGGTCTTGCTTATTAGCCAGGCAAATATGAGTGTAGTCCTCCCATTTATCCTTCTGTCTGTGCTTGGGATAATACACATATGCCACCATGCCCAACTTTGTGCTGTTGAGAGTGGCCAGGAACCTTGATCCTCCTGATGTCAGTCTCCAGAGTAACTGGGATTGTAGGCTTGAGCCAATATGCCTGGTTCTATAATGGGATTTTTTTTTCTTAGAGGATTATGCTTTATGGAAATAGCTGGCTATTGCCACCGAGCTAAAATAATTTCTAAACAATCAGGAAACCTTGCAGGAAACGTGGATTCCTCTTTTCCCTCCTCTCCCTAAGTCAACAGCCAGGACCCCCAGGCGCCTGCTGCGCCACATTGTGTATCCTCTTGTAGCTATCTTCGAAATAAATCTCCTGTCGCTGACTTTGTAACAAACCCCAGCTTCAAGGGTGCAGGGGCATAGGACATTATGTTTCTGGAATGTATAGCCCCCATGAGTAAGAATATCCGCTTGCGTTGTGTGGGGATCCCAAATTTGCATGCCAATTCAAACCAAAATGGTAGGCTAGTTCAGTTACTATGAGACGGACTGTAACTCCATTGGCCACTGACATAAATATACACCCTTTATGTGTGTGTTACAATCCCGTTGACCACCTGAGTGTGGCCAGGCTTGACCACATGGATTTTGCCTTTAAAAACTCTAGCTTGTGGGCCGCTCGGGGTCACAGTTTCAGCTCCCGAGTCTGTGCTGCGTCCCTGGCCAGTCAACTAACCACTTCCTCAATAAAGTCACCTTTTTACATGAGGCTGTCTCTGAGTGGTGGACTCTTTTCCCTATAACAACAGGACACGGGCAGCTTGGTGCAGGGAATCAGGTGTCTGATGCTATGCCTGTTCAAGTCAGGGTGGTGATTGCTGATGCACGTGTGGATGGTGAGGTTAGGGAGCAGTCTAGAGTGCTTAGAACCCCGGGTGAACTCTGAGACTTCCCTGTGTCTCTGTACCATCATACACATTTCACCCCTGTGCTGCCTCATCATAGTTTGCCTTCTCTGAATCCCTTCCACTCCTCCCTCCCCCACTACCCCAAACCTTTGCATCTCCGGGGCTCCCTGGCCCCCTGGATTCAGGTGGGAGGCACCAATGGGAGATGAAGGGCAGGAAAAGAGAGGGCTGAGTATTTTATCCCCTCGATTCCTCTCTGGTAATGTTTTTGACCCCCCCAAGAAGACAGATTCCCTACAAGGGCTCTGGCTTTTCATCCCTTTGGGCTTAGGCAATGATAATGGATCTTCAAGGTTGTGCTCCTAAGAAACGTCTCCATGGAAGTCTCTGTCTAGAAGTGGCCGGAGAAAATCCATGACATGGAAATGAACCAGGTAAGCTTCTGTCTCCCCCCACAGACCGTAGAGGAGGCACAGAACAGGAAGTGTGTCTATTTTTTTTTTAAGCTTTATATCCTCAGCCCTTGGCTCCATGGCTGGAAGTAAGTGGTTGGGCAGTGTGGGAATATTTTCTTGAGATGACCTGGAGGTTAAAGGGCATGTGTGGTGTGGCACAGCGTTGTATCTGGATATCGCAGGGACAAGGTCCAGGACTCCACACATCACACTGGGTAGCATCCAGGGCAGTGTGACTTCAGTTTAAGTCCCGGATCATGCCCTCATTAAGGTCCTTTCACTCAGGACAGGCTCTGCGTGCACCTGTACCCTAGGTTCCTTTTGTTGTTAATGAGGAGGGGAGCAGAGAGGAGATGATGGTGGGAATGATAGAATGTCCATCTGCCTCACTGAGTCTCAGAAGGGCTGAATGTTAGCACTGTGCTCTTCTGCCTTCTTCTATGATCGAATTTTTGTTTAAAATTTAGTTTATTGTTATTATAGAGGTGATATATTACATTTATGTGAGTCAGGCAATGAGTACATTTCCTTTCGTACAGTGTCTTCTGTTCCCTCGCTCTCTCCCAGCCCCTCCCTCCCGTCTCCACCCACGAGTTGTATAGTTCCCTTTCATTCAGTTGCAGTGAGCACCACCACTGCACTTTTCCACCCATTTTCCTTTGAGTTCGGTGCCCTCCTTCCCACCCTCTTGAAGATATGCATGTGAACACACTGTTTATAAGGTAAGGAAGACAGAATCATCACACACTAAAAAAGAACAATAAGTCTTTTGTTTCCATATCTTGGAATTCGTTCCAGGATGTACATTATTCTTATATCCATATGAAGAGGCACTAAGGCATTGTGCCTTTGTGATTCTCTAAAAAGCATCCTCTTCTGGGCTCACTGTATGTGAGGATCTAGAATCCTGAATGCCTTTTCTCCCAGTGTGTTCTGGATATATCTTCCCCGTATATGACTGTATTTGTTTGGAGAGGTCAACCTCTTTGTCAAGGTGTGGTGTTTATTGAATGATGGTGGTATAATTTTAGGAGCCTAGGTGGGTGTTCAAAACTCATTTACCTGGGTAACCCCTTTCCCTCCAGACGTGGACTGTTTCTGTCACCCCAGCAAGCTCCCTTGGACCTCTACTCATCTCATCCCATCCCAGACCCCATTCCTTTCAAGCTGCACCTTTAGGTAATCTGATATCTTACAAGCTCTTCATAGACACCCACCAATCATGCCTACCCTCACCTCCCTGCCTTTTGTTATTCTTTTATTATTGTTTTGTGAGCCCTGGGGGTTTGAATTCAGGGCTTGTGTGCTCTCCCTTAAGTCTTTCACTTAAGGCTGGTGCTCTTCCACTTGAACCACTCCTTTACTTCTGGTTCTTCACTAATCATTTGGAGATTAAAAAGTCTTGTGGGATTTTTTTTTTGCCCTGGCTTTAAGCTTGAATAGCTAAGATTACAGACGTGAGCCCACCAGTGCTTATCAGATTATTGCAGGTAAATATGCTTTCATCAGATTATTACAGGTAAATATGACTTGAAAGGAAAAAAAGAAATGAATAAGGATCTCTAGTTTAAAGGGCCATCAGTTGACTGCCTTCCTAAGCAAATCTCCCTTTGTTCTCTTCCATCATAAATTCATTAGCTGTGGTACTCAATATCCACACAGCATCTGTAGATTGGAGAAAGTGTTTAATGTAATAAAACTGAAAGGGGTTTGATGACTACTTAGGGGCTCATCTTTTCATTTCTCTAGATATGATAACAGAAAGAACCTGTTGATAAGGATTTTGGTAATGGGGAGGCTTTGGATGTGTAAGGAGAGGAGATGTATAGCATCATGTGCTCAAGTTTGCAGGTAATCTAAAACTGCCCTTCAGGAGACTATGAAAAACAAATGTAGCTGGGTGCTGGTGGCACATGCCTATAATCTTAGCTGAGGATCACATCACGGTTTAAAGTCAGCATGGGCAGGAAAGTCCATGAGGCGTTTATCTTCAATTAAGCACCAAAAAGCCAGAAGTGGAGCAGGAGCTCAAGTGGTAGATAGAGTGTTAACCTTGAGGAAAACTCAGAGACAATGCCCAAGCCCTGAGTGAGTTCAAGCCCTAGGACACACACACACACACACACACACACACAGTGATCACTAAGAATCAGAAGTAAAATCTAATTTACCAAAGGCTAGACAGGTGGCTGAGGAGAAATAATCTCTTCATTCGTCACTGCCTTTAAAATAAACTTCTTGCCAATTATTCTGATATTTATTTGTTCATTGCCACCTCTGATATTTGTGTCTACCAAGACATTCAGGAACAATCACTGTTACTCGTGTCTGCATTAAATGCCTGAGGAGCCTTTCCAGTGTGAGCCCATTATTATGTATTTTAACTTCTTTGATAATGAGTTGATTCTTGAGATTCTAAGGAATTTGCCCAAGGTTGCCCAGCAATTGATGGCCAAGCTGGCATTGGAAAGACACCGCTTCCACAGCGCTTTATTAGTGGGAACCATTTGCTTAATTCTGAACCTAACTCGGTTAAAAGGCTTAATCAGGCCTTGGGAACATCGCCACCTGCTTGCTCATCCCTGACCCTTGGGTGTCACCTGAGGCTCCACCAAATCCAGGTGGAGCCGCACACCGCCCCCTGGTGGCAGGCGGGCGCCCGCGCCGCGCGCATGCTAATGAGGCCGCGCCGCCGCCCGCTGATTGGCTGACGCGGACTCCAGCTGTTTTGCAAGTCGGCGGGTGCGAGTAGAGCGGAGAAGCCGCAGGCGGCTGCCGGGGCCCCGAGCGCTCCCCGCCCGGCGCCTGCGGGGACGACGCCCAGGCTGGCGCGGGCCAGGCCGGCTTCCCAACTTAGGGAGGCGGGGTGGAAGGGGGTGCTTTCCCTTTCTCTCAAATTCGTGTTGTGCTGGTGAACTCATCCCGGGTCCAGCATGACGATCCGACACCAAGGCCAGCAGTACAGGCCGAGGATGGCATTTCTCCCAAAGGTACCAGGGGTGTCCCCACCTGTGGGCCTGGCAGGGGGGCGGGGGCGTCCCTGGGGAGAATCGGGGGGGGGCAGCGGGGCGGGCGTCCCTGGGGAGAGTCGGAGGGGGGGCAGCGGGGCGGGCGTCCCTGTGGTCGGTTCGAGATGAGCTCAAACGGCTGGGGAGGTCTGGTGTTGCCTTTTCAAGACGGCAATCGTTGGGTTTGTGTGTGAGCTGTTGGTCCTGGAGCTCCGGAGGCCAGCGAGGCCGGTCGGCCGGAGGCTGCTGCGGACAGCCAACAACCTGTTACTCAGAGAAGCGAGGGGAGGCTGCTGTGGGGAGGCAGCGCAGGGCGAGGCTGCGCCGAGGGTCCCAGTCGGCCTGCTTGTCTGGTTATAAGACACGGGATGCTAAGGGAACGTGTGTGTGTGTGTGTGTGTGTGTGTATGTGTGTGTGTGTGTGTGCCATCTTCTGGTCCACACGGTAGTATTTTAAAGTGAGGGAGGGTTTGTGTGTGTGCGCCTGGACCGCAAAACTGGCGTGATCTGTAAGGATCTAGGGCCTCCCTGAGCCCTTCGCTTGAGCCGAGCACCTGGGTATCTACCAGCTTGCACGATCAGAGCCTTTTCTGTCTGTTGCAAGTGTTTTCTTAGAGCCAGCAAGGTTGGGGGGAGAGGGAGAGGATACACTTGTGGGGTGATGTGTCTGGGGACAAAGCCCCGGTCATCTTGTTCCTGGCTTTTGAGGCAGCAAGTGTGGGAAGAGTTCTATGGGGGATTAGGTCTCAGGTCACTTGTGTGCCCTTCCTCCTGTCCCCAGCCACTTTCGCAGGACAGTTTGCATCTTCTTAAGCTTATCCCATTGAGTAGAATTAGCTGAATGTGTGGTGACAAGCTAGGCCTGGGCCCTGAGCCCCGAGACCTCAGCAAGTTGCTTAGAGTCAGTGACCGGTGCTCTGGATTTGCTGCATGTTAAAAACCTGTCCCATGGCGGGTGGGGGGGGCACACTCAGTCACACTTGATCTCCCTCCATAGGAGAGATGTGAGGATGTCCAGAAAACAGAATCAACCCAGAGCGTCAGTACTGCTGCGGCTGGATTCCTAAAAGCCAGAAGAAGCTAACCAAGTCTGATGTGGGAAAGCAAATATGAACTTCCAGGTTTTTTGCAGGCAGGACTGCTCTGGCTGGGGAAAGAGTAATTGTCTGGAGACACTGAGCTTCCTTATTAAATCCTGGGCATTCTTTCCCATGACGGCTGTTGTCTTATCTAGTAGCTTCTCTCTTTACCTTGGTCTTCTCACTGGTGTCTTAATCTCCAGCCTCCCCTTCTCTATGCAATCTTTCCTCCTCTTCAGCTCTCCCTCTCATTCCCGCCCCCCCCCCCCCCCATCCTGGCCTCCCTTCCTCTACCCCAGCCTTGGCTTCCACCTCAGTTTCCCTTCCTCCACCCAGCCTCCACCCAGCCTCCCTTTTCCACCCAGTTTCCCTCCATCCCAGCTTCTCTTGCCCTCCTCACTCCCTCCTCCCCTCCTCCAAGACACCCCTCCCACACACTGGTTTTCTTTCCAAAATTAACTGACCCCCATCCACTTGAGCCCCCTTCCCCCCATTGGCTTCCTACGCCTGCAGAATGCAGTCTCCCCTCTCTGCCTGGCTGCTCAAGATTCCTCCCCAGATTCCTGCCCCCACCAGATTCCTCCCCTCCCCCACTTCATTTTCCCAGAGCTCCCTCCCCCCAGCTCCCTCCCCTGCCCCCCAGGAGGCAGAGCAGAGCAGTGACAGGTACCCAGGGCTCCCAGCTCCACGACCTCCATACCTTTTTCAGACTTAACGTTCTGTCCTAGCTCAGGCTCTTCTGTGAGCCTCCTTTTGCCTCTCTGCCATCCTTCCACCCCCCTCTCCCCTGTTCCCACAGCCCACGCATAGGCCCCTCCCCCGTGAAGGTGGGTTCTGTCAACTCCCTAAGTGGACTGACTTCCGCTCCTGTGCCTGCAGATGCCCCCGCCCCCCATCTTTCGTATTGCTTCCCCTTTGTCTTGCACTGGCTAGGACCCTGCCTGCATCTTCCAGTGTTTTGGGTCATGTCACAGAGCGGCTTAGAGAGCAGGAAACAGGAAAGGCTCTGCAGAACATGTGCTGGGGGACCCTTACCAACCAGCTGTCCCAGCCATCTAGCCTACTGGAGAAGGGGTTGGATCAAAGGCATGTGCCTGGTGACAGGTACCAGAGTCTCTATTCCAGGCTTGTTATGCTACACATTGTGTCCCTAACAGGGTCTTACTGGCATTTTCTCTTCTGTTTCATTGGACAGTGGTCTGATGAAATGAATGATTATTATTTTACAAAGAAAGAAACAGGCCCAGACAGCCTCATGAAAATGATAGGACCAGCCAGGTGCTGGTGGCTTATGCCTGTAATACTAGCTATTCAGGAGGCTGAGAGCTGAGGATCATGGGTTGAAGCTAGCCTGGGCAGGAAAGTCCATGAGACTCTTTTTGTTTTGTTTTGCTTTTTGTCAGTTGTGGGGCTTGAACTCTGGGCCTGAGCACTACCCCTCAGCTCTTCAGCTCAAGGCAAGTGCTCTACCGCTTGAGCCACAGTGCCACTTCTGGTTTTCTAGTGGTTTATTGGAGATAAGAGTCTTATGGAATTTCCTGCCCGGCTGGCTTTGAACCATGATCCTCAGATCTCAGCCTCTTGAGTAGCTAGGATTATAGGCATGAGCCACCAGCGCCCGGGGTCCATGAGACTCTTATCTCCAAAAAACCACTCAGAAAAAGCTGAAAGTGGCACTGTGGCTCAAGTGGTAGAGTGCTAGCTCTGAGTAAAAGAAGCTCAGGGACAGTATCCAGGCCCTGAGTTCAAGTCCCAGGACTGGCCAAAAAAAAAAAAAGGAAAAGAAAAGAAAAAAAGAAGAAAACTAAAAATAAATAAAGAGATAGTACCAGGAAAAGATACAAAAAGATTACAGAAGTGGCCGTTGTCTATTTCCAAGTGCTAAACAATGCTACAAACATTTCTATGCTGTAAGATGGAATATGGAGGCTGTGGGGACACAGAGCTTCGAGCTGAGGAGAAATAGGAGGTTCTGGGCAGAGAGAGGGGAGTAGTTCCCCTGTGCCTCCAGCTCCAGCTCCACGCAGTGGCTGGAGATACCTGCCCATTAGCCCGGCTGCTGCCCACGTGCATGCCTGGGCTTGGTCAAGGTATGGTGGGAAGAGGTGGAGGGCTCACCTGGCCCAGGGCTTTGCTGAGGATAGAGTTAGCCAAGGATACCTGGACTAAAGAGCCACAGGTAAGTGGTTTTCAGTGGCTCTCATACCCATGAGCATTTTTTTTTTTTTTTGGTGCTGCCCCACACTTTTGTGGTTTCTGGTTCACCATCCCAGCCAATCCCGCCTCCCTCTTCCCTAGAGATTTCCCATAGGATTGGCTCTCTTGGTGATACGAGGAGGGTCTTCTGTTTCATGATTTACCTTTCCTGTAGGCTCCTGGCATCTCTCTGTCTCTGTCTCTCCCCTGCCAACCACCCCTTGGGAAGAGGACTTCATATACCTGGGCAGAGGATTTTATCTTTTTTTTTTTTTTTGGTCATCAGGCTTGAACTCTGGGCCTGGGCACTGTCCCTGAGCTCTTCAGCTCAAGGCAAGCACTTTGCCACTTGAGCCAGTTTTCTGGTGGGTCATTGGAAATAAGAGTCTCAAGGACTTTTCTGCCCCAGCTGGCTTTGAACCACCATCCTCAGATCTTAGCCTCCTGAGTAGCTAGGATTACAGGCATGAGCCACCAATGGCTGGCTGGTTGTATCTTTTTTTTAATCCAATACACTTAGTGGAACACCTTTATGCCAGGTGTAGGGGATACCAGGTTTCTTAGAGCACCCAGAGAAAGACAGCTGTATAAACACAGACTTTGTTGTTAATATACCCAGCAGGGGTGGATGGGGGAGTAGTGTCTGGGGTGTGTGTGGGGAATTAGATTTCATGAGGAGCTCATTTTTTTTTTAAAGGAGGAGGTTAGGAAGATGAGTGGCATTGTAGGCAGATGCAAAACACAGATGTGTAAGAGAGAGGGGTGGCTGGAGGAGACTCCTTGGGGTGAGGACAGCAGGCTCTGAGAGGGATGGGTGTGGAGTAGATGGACAGGAAGGCTGGGTGGTTGGGAAGGGTTCTAAGCTGGAGGGCTTCCTACAAGCTGCCGAGGATTTGATGCTTTCTGTGTTTAATGGTGCTCTAAAACCAGGGATGAGTAAGATGGGTTGGTTTACTTGCTACAAGTGGGATTCTGATGAGAAGGCGTGACTGCTTTTCAACCCCGGCTGGCTGCATCATTAACAGGATTCACATCAAGTCATTGTCCTTAGAATTTCTGATTTATTTGGCTTAAGGTGAGGCCCAGACATTTGTCTTTTTAAAAAGACCTTCCCAGGTGGTTTGAATATGCAGCTCTAGGGCCATTTGGCAACATCTGGGTATATTTTGGGCTACAGCCACTGGGAATTTTACTGGCACTGAGTGGGTAGAGACAGATGGCGATATTTTATAGTACACAGGATGGTCCCCTAAACAGGTCCCCCAGGCTAGAGAGCATATTAAAGGCTGTGAACCAATGCCCGTGAAGGCAGAGCCTGTCCTCAGCCCTTTGTTAGCTCACTGTGGAGCCGCTGATCCACCGAGGATGAGCCAGTGGGTAGATGAGATACAGACAAAACCAGAATCAAGGGGCTGGGAATGTGGCTTAGTGGTAGAGTGCTTGCCTAGCATGCATGAAGCCCTGGGTTCCATTCCTCAGTACCACATACACAGAAAAACCTGGAAGTGGCACTGTGGCTCAAGAGGTAGAGTGTTAGCTTTGAGCAAAAGAAGCTCATGGACAGTGCCCAGGCCCTGAGTTCAAGTCCCAAGACTGGCAACAAAACAAAACACCAGTATCAATAGAAGTTGGCTATTGCAGGTCTTGCCTGGGGCCAGCAGGAGTTCCTGCTGGGGTGTAGCGGGGTGGGGGAGCAGGCTCAGGAGA